ATTCTTATAACCTCATGTTATTCCAAACATTTTAATGTCATAATTAACATTATAGAAAAAAGTATGATGAGTATATGAATTGTAATTTTTTGGGTGAATTTAAATGGGTCCATTGACACTTTTATCCAAAGTGGGTGCGATTTTTACAGGGGCAGTCGTCCTGGAGTTAAAAGAATATTTTATTCAAAAATGTATTTATTTCTTTTTTTCATTATTTTCACACTCTCATCTTGTTCCAAACCTATGTATTATTTTTTTTCCTTGGAGAAATTGCATGAGTAATGCATGGGCTATTTCTTTTTCATATGGAAAGAAAGGAGCATGTACATTGCTTTACAATTATCCTTTTGTGAAAAATAACAGCATATGTGTAGGCATAATAATGACAGAATTTTCATTTTTTGAGAAACTATCCCTTTTAGAGAGAATCACTTGTCTTGCTCAAGGGCACAATAGTGATAACAAAAGGTTTTTTATTTCGGAGGTCGAACTAGCAATTTTCTGCCTTTTCAGCCTTGAGCTATAGCCATATACCTTGTCCTATCCTCCCAGCAGCAGGCCCGAGTGGACATTTCCCTTTGTGTTTGAGATATTGCCTTTGCATTCATTTTAAAATGAACAGCTATGGACTTAAGTTGTAAAGGAAACTTTAGATTATGAGGATTGGATATTGTTGTAACTCGGCTTAGAAGTTAATAAGTATAAAAATAAAGTGTTTGCAATGCCTCGCTCTCAGGAGCATCCGCAGGCTGCTTGACATGCGACTCACATTGGCGTTCAGTGCAATGGCATGAAGCGAGCCCATGCAGGGATCCATCCCTTCAGACTGCAGTGAACTGATTTATCAGCGCTCACCTCTCAAGGCTTCCCCTTGGCAACGGGACTCCACCACGGAGCTGGAAGGTTGCCAGGTAACACTCTGCAACACTGACACACGTGTCTTGCTTTGAAGATGTAATGAACCTGGTTGAAGGTCATGGACCACAGAACAGAAGAATGAGATCAGAGCTTAGGGCAGTGCGATGTCTCTTTGAGCACGAGCAGCTCTTACAAAAAACTTTGTGGGCGCTTAGCTCACGTGCTGAGGGAACTGGTTCAGTTCTTTCAAGTTCTGGAGTTGGTGTGGTCTTTTGGAGTGGGATTGTACTTCTTTTTTTATTAATATGCAAAAAATATGCCCCACTAGTTGAAATTGCTTGAATAATTAAGAATTTTTTTCAGTATTTTGAAAGAAGTCTCTTATGCTCACCAAGGCAACAAAAAAGTTAAAACGGTAATAATGTGAAAAAATTATTACAATTTAAAATAACTGTTTTCTATTTGAATACATTATAAAATGTAATTTATTCCTGTGAGGGCAAAGCTGAATTTTTAGTAGTCATTTTAACTATGATTCATTTCTGAAGAATCTCGTGACACTGAAGACTGGAGTAATGATGCTGAAAATTAAGCTTCACCATCAGGGCCGTGCAGAGACCTTTAGAGGGGCAGGTGCTCAAAGTATAAAAGGGGCACATGGAACAAGGCTTTAAAAAGGGCTGTGCTCAAAATGTCAATACAGAAATATACTGTGAAGTAGGGCTGTACGATTATGACAAAATCATAATTGTCGATTATTCCCTGAAATTGTAATTGCAATTATTAATTACGATTATCACAATTTACATTGAATGATGTTTATACCGTTGTTAGATGCAACTGCATGCTGTATTTTTAGATGAAAATAAACAAGCTGAAAACACTCTGACTGAAAAACCTTTAGTGCTTTTCTATAGTATTAAGCCTCAAATGTCAACTATACATCGGATT